TGCACTGAGAATTTCAAATAATGTTCGGTTGTCTGTGATCTTTCCATGGGCTCGGCTTTTTTGGTGTGATCGCTGGCACGCTCCAACGACCATTTGGAATTATATTTTGTAAACCAAGATGTTACTTGTGAAATTACATCACAAGTGAAGTTTTAAAATAGCTTTATTTTAAAAGCATATTTAGGACTAAAGGGAGCAATTTTTACAAAGTCTATGAAGCCATCGTCTGTTAGGCCCGGTCCAAACGCCGCTCCACTCATGTGCCGAACCAAACTTGATTAAGTTCGACTTTAGAGCGACTTTGGAGCGACGGCTGGTTCAGACGGTGTACTTGCGTCGAACTTAATTCGGGAAGCCGGTGGTAACAATTTTCGACGAGAAAATATGCGTTCTGAATTCAAGAACTTTGTCCAAATAGAAAAGCTGTGACTAACATTTCGCAGTTATCTGCTGTTATAGCAATATTTAGGGAAGCAAATTCAAACTCAAGGTTCAGTGTTTTGTATTTAGACAGGTTTTCTCCCAGTTAAATCGACTTGTTAAAGGGAAATCTAATAAGCTGAGCTATTATCACGACGAAAAAGTAAAAAATGAATTTGGGCTAAAGAAACTCGCTTATACAGTGGCCGTCGATAAAACCAGGAACATGGAACATTCCGGAACATTCCGGAACATCGAATAATTATCATAATTATGAGAAAAATATGTAAAATTAAATTTTTAAAACTAAAATAAACAAAAATTAACTGGTATCAGCTTGGAACATGAAAAGATATTATTGGGGATAGGGGAGTCGGTAGCAGAGGGGTAGGGAGCGTTGGTTATTTATTCAACTGACCACAATGAGTGCAGGCTCCTCTTCTAAGTGCAGACTCGGCATTTCCGGAAGCCCGATTAACAACCAAGTTATTATTAATAAACTAGTGGTAATCAAAGATTTATAGAGCAGCCCGTTCACGCGCGTTTTTCGCATGTCTGGTTTACTTTGGCGGTGTCCGAATGGCTCGATAGAAAACTAA